GTGAGCCACTGTTCCTGGTCTACAAATTCTTTATTTTACAACATACAGTAGACGTTCAATAAACATTTGCTAAGCAGAAACATACACTCAAAATACCAGAAATTATCAAGTAAGGGAATACCAGTTGGTCTCTTGGATTCTTCCTCCTGATAGATATCCCAGGCTGCAGTGCAGTGGCGCAATCTCAACTCACTGCAACCACCACCTCCCGGGTTCAAGTGCTTCTTGTGCCTCACCCTCCCGAGTAGCTGGGACTACAGGTGCACACCATGTCAAGTGGCTAATTTTTGTATTTTTAGTAGAGATGGAGTTTTGCCATGATGGCCAGGCTGGTCCTGAACTCTGGACCTCAGATGATCCGTCCACCTCAGCCTCCCAAAGTGCTAGGATTACAGGCATGAGCCACCGGACCTGGCCCAATACTGCTAAAAATTCCAATCAGGTGACAAACTCCCCAGGCTCTGGTTTATATTACCAAGCATCCTGATGATAACTTGGCTTCCTGTTTGGCTCGTTTATGGAAAGAGAATGCTACCCAGGCTGACATGAGTTTGCATTTCCGAGTTGATTTCTCATCGTAAATTAATAAACTGGCATTCTGCCTACCTAGATCAGTCTCTTTGAACTCTTTGTACCTTCCACCATTTGTGTGATTTCCAAGGCTCCAAGCCAGACACTGCCCAAGCCCCACCACCGGACTCTGGCAAGTTCTTCCAACTGGTGCCACCTCAGGAGCCCCTGGGAGCCCCTAGGAGCCATCCAGCCTACTCCCTACCTCTACATTTCAGGGTGTGGGTTTCAGGGCATTCACAATATTCCTGCAATAGAAGAGTTTTGGGAACACCCCCAATAGAATCTGGGTGATTTGAATGTAATCTTAAGAAGGTATGTCAGAGATATAGTTGTAACTGAGAAATCTTAAGCCTAGTGAATTTTATTCCACTCGACTTAAAGAAAAAGCATGTAAAAGAAGGGGATCTGAGGACATGTATAAACAGGGCCCTGAGGGCATGAATTTACTAGTGTTTATCTGTTCCTGTCTGAAGTCTGGAGACCCTGACTCTGGGGTATCCAAGCTTTGCAGTGGCTGTAGAGGTTTACTGTTTTGGAGGGAGAAGATAATTCACTCCTCTAACACCTGAAAGAGGGAAGATTAGCCCACCTTCAGCTGCAATTTGATTTAATGATCAAAAGCAAACTACTTCTCCTCCTCCTCTTCCTCCTCCTTCTCCTTCTCCTTCCTTCTTCTTTTGTTTTTTTTCGAGACAGGGTCTCTCTGTGTCACCCAGGCTGGAGTGCAGTGGCATGAACTCGGCTCACTGCAACCTACACTTCCTAGGCTCAAGTGATCCTCCTACCTCAGCCTTCCAAATGACTGGGACCACAGGTGTGAACCACCATGCCTGGCTAATTTTTGTATTTTTTTGTACAGACAGGGTCTCTCCATGTTGCTGAGGCTGGTCTTGAACTCCTGAGCTCGAGAGATCCTCCTGTCTCGGGCTCCCAAAGTACTGGGATTACAGGCATGAGCCATCATTCCCAGCCTCAACAGGCAACCTTCTGATTAATAATTAGACCTCTGGGCTGGGTGTGGTTCTTATGCCTGTAATCCCAGCATTTTGGAATGCCAAGGCAGGTGCATCACTTGAGGTCAGGACTTCGAGACCAGCCTGCCCAAAACAGTGAAACCCCATTTCTGCTAAAAATACAAAAATTAGCATGGTATGGTGGTATATGCCTGTAATCCCAGCTACTTGGGAGGCTGAAGCACAATAATCACTTGAGCCCAGGAGGCGGTTACAGTGAGCTATGTAATATAATGAAATGGTTTTACTAAACTTAGGAAGCAGTGACTTGATTTCTCTAGAAATTGCCTCACACATATTCCAGGATACATTCTGTGTCATCTGGAATCTCCTCCCTTCCACAAACCCACGCTGTCTTAAGCACTACACTATTTTCCTATTTGTTGTTGACCTAATCTAGAAAATTCTCCCGTCGTCACTAGTTCTCCCCCACCCAGTCCCTCAGTCCCGCAGCACCCGTATTCTCTGCACTTGTCACCCCACCCTCTGCTGCTCCCACCCCAGCGCGCAAACGCACACAGGTTTAAAGTTTAGGCTGTGATGCTATCCTCGCCCGCAGATCACAGGACAGACATTCCCAGGGACAACTTTGCGAGGCCATGTGCTGGTCCCCCTTAGGAAGGAAGAGGGAGAAGTCCCTGCAGCTCGGTTTTGTTCCAATGGTCGGCTCAGCGAGTGATTCCCGTTTCCCCAAAGGCTGCCCCTCATTAGCATGAACGGGGGTGGGGGTGTGGAGAAGGGGTTGGGGGAGAGAAAGCAAGCAAAAGCCCAGGCTCACTTTTAGAGCCTGGGAACCCTGTCTACAAAAATGACAGCTAGAGCTTTCTGGCTCCTCTGCTTGATCGTCGGATCATCCCCTGAAGCCCCCTTGGCGGAGAGAAAAAGTAAGATCTGTGTAGCGCGGAGAACTAGGACTGGAGCAGGGTTCTGCGGGGGAGCTGGGGAGGGAACACAGTGAAACGCGGGGCGGGGGCCGAGGGTGGGTAGAGCTCGCGAGAGAGGACACCCTGGGTCTGCGTTCGTCTTAGAAAGGAGCAAAGGGTGTCCCCAAGATTTCATGTCTCTTGGCAGCCTTTTCGGAAAGAAGCCAATTCAGCTACTGAAATGATCCCGAGCGAGCCCGGCAGGCTGGGGAAAACTTTGCATGTTAAGTAGTTGCTCCATCACAGAGGAGGGAAATGTCAAAAGGGGTCGCGGCGCGCCTTTGGGGAGCCGTGCCCAGGCGGGGCTCGCAGGACGCCGCCGGGTCCGTCCCACTCCGCTGGGTGAGCAGGGGCTGCGGGGGGCGCAGGGGAGGGCTCGGGGGAAGCCAGGCCAAAATCCGGCAGCCCCAGGCGCTTCTCTGCTCTCCCCGCAGCCCCAGCGCACAGCCTTGGGACACCTGAGCCGGGGTTTAACTAACACACATACGCTCTCACAGTTCACGCACGAAATGAAATTAAGTTACTCAGCCCATGAAGAAATGAGGGGTTCTCGGGGTGGGGGGGGCGGGAATCGTGTTTTTGTTTTGCTTTTATTTGGATGTTCTGTTGGCTTCGCTATCTCTGGGAAAAATAGCTTCTGTACCTCACAGGGCAATTTACTCTGGGTTATTTTTCCACATGGAAATTGAATGACTTCAGTGGCATTTAACCCAAATATCAGACAATCTTTCCCATGACAACAGATGGTGTTATCAATGGGGAAGCAGTTGTGAGGTCCACAGTTGACAGTCAGGAATTGGATATCCACCAGAACTTTACTCAGCTGTGGATGGCACAACCGTTCCACAACATAATGAGTCAGATCAACCTCTTGCAAAAACATGAACCCTAACCAGCTATTATTGCTGGGTGAAAGCTGATTTTAAAGCAGATTATCGATTTGGCAAGACCAATCGTTTTAAATGAAGTGTTGTCAGAGCTGCAAATGGGCAGATCCAGCTCTTTAACACAAAGGGAGAGAAAAATAAAGGCGAGTTCTTGAGGTTCTTGCTTGTTTGGAGGGCACTGGGACCCAGGCAAGCGAGGAGGTGATATTGTGTAACTGGCATGGAAAGTTGCCAGCTTCCAAGCTGGCTGAAGTTGACTCACCAACCTGTCTGCAGAACTAGGCAAAGTCACTAGTAATTTAAAAAATTTGTTTTCATGCCATACCATTTGGGAGTCTTTCCTCCACCATCTAATGGGGAAAAAAAATGTAAGGGATGTGTGCTTTTATACTCTGCCTCCCAGCCAAGTTTTAAAAACCTTCCTTAGCTGTGGTTTAACAGTAAGTGGTGTCCAAGAAGCCAGATAAAAATCCACTTACAAATGCTCGATTCTGCAGAGACCAAGATGACAGTGTAAACACGGATGGGAAAACCAAATAATTCTGTTGTCAGGGGCGCTTTAACAATTAGGAGAACGTGTAATATGACACCTTTCCCCCTGGGGTTTGCTCTTGGTACTTTCTCAACAACCTGTAAATAGCAAAGAGGCTGATGTTTATATATGTTATATATATACACACGTACACACATATACGTACGTATTAAAGGAAGGGCAAAAAAGTTTGTTATCTAACCAATGTTGTCAGACATGTTTCCTCTTAAATAGGGGATTGTAATTTTAAAAGTCATAGATTCCTTAACAAAATAAAATGCTCCCATCAGGCCTCTGATTCCTCATGTAGTGAAAGTTTTCTTGGTTGGCCCCATTCTTAGAGGGCAAGACCCTTATCTCCTTCTTCCTTTGGGGCCTGGGAAGCGCGTGCCACAACCCCCCCGCCCTTGGCCGCAAGGCTGTGTCCGGGTTCTCCGTCCTTCACTTCCAGGCCTCCCGGCCTCCCTCCCATCTCTCCTCTTGCTGGTGCCTGCGAAGCCTACCTTGTCCCCTGACTCCCGTCCCCCTCCCAGAGCCCTTCTTCTGCAACGCCCCTGCCGCACTACCGGTCTCCTCCCCTCCTGGCCTCCCTTCCCCTCTCGGCCTCCGGTCTCAGCTTCCCCTTCCCTCTTCTCCCTTCTCGGCCTCCTCGGCTTCCCCCGACGGCCTCCCCTCACTGCTCCTCCTCCCCCACGGCCTCCCCGCCTCTCCTCTTCTCTCCCCACAGCCTCGCCGCCGCACAGCAGGAAGCCAGACTCCCGTGGCTGCCCGAGCGCGGAGGAGACACCGGGGCCCCGTGGGCAGCCGCTCCCCGAGGCCGCGCGGACGTCGCGCGCGGCTGAGGCCACACCCACCGCCCGCGCCTGGTCCGACCCGCGGCGCGGGAAGCCCTTCCCGCAGGCTGACAACCGGGCCAGCTTCCGGGAGGCCGCACGACCGCCCGCAGGGCCGCCGGCTCCGCGCCTGGCCCAAGCCGAGAACCGCGCGTCGCCGCGCCGCGGGCACTTATCGGTGGACGCCCCGCGACGCGCGCGCTCACGGGCCCTGCGCTTCCCCGCCGCCCCGTCGCCCGCGCGCACTGCCGATGGCTCCGCCCACCCCAACCGGCCGCGCGCCGCCGCGCCGCCCCCGGGTCCCGTGCCCGCGCCCGCGCCGCCGCCGCCGCGCCTCAGCCCCAGCCTCGGCCTCACCCCGTTGCGGAGGTACCCGGATCCCGACGCCGAGCCCTGCTCGCGCGCCTGCTGGGCGGACCTGGACGAGCGCGAGGCGTTCTGCGAGAGCGAATTCGGTGAGCCCGGCCGCCGCGCCGAAGCCCCGCGAGTCTTTCCGAGCCCCGGAGAAGCCCCCCCGCGCGATCCCAGGGCGCCCGACCCGTGCGGGCCGTTTCGCGGTTGCCAAAAACCCACGCCGGGGGACTGGGAGAGGAACTCAGGGTAATGCTCTTCTCCAAACTGTTTTTCGGAAGCAGCGGTGAACGGGATCGTGCACGACGTGGACGTGCTGGGCACGGGCATCCAGCTGGTGACCCTGCTGGTGGATCGGGACGGGCTGTACAAGATGAACCGCCTGTACCTCACCCCCGACGGGTTCTTCTTCCGAGTCCACATGTTAGCCCTGGACTCCTCCAGCTGCAATAAGCCGTGTCCAGAGTTTAAACTTGGTATTGAAACTGACCTGAATGACGCTGCATATGTACTTTATACCACAGTTTGTAACGTGGGTGCCACAGCCCTGGCTGTGGGTCGCCCAGCCTTTTTTTGGGAGGGATGGGGGACAGTACTGTAATATGAATAGGATTTAGACGGCAGGTATTATTTCAGCCACTCTGTGATTTAAGCCCCGTCAGCCCCCACCCCCAAGAGTGAGAACCGCAGCGGTTGGCATTAAACCGGCTGTCACTTAACAGATGTTGACAAATGGAGTGAACGACCAAACACCATTGCCAGAAGGGACTAGACAGAACTGAGTTTAGAAAAGCTGCATTTTTGGGGGCTTGGGGAGGGCTGATAGGGGGTGAATACCCACTCTCATATCTTTCTGTACATGTCCTCTGGGAAATCCTGATACATTGTGATAAGGACCTTTGTTCTGTAGTTGCTTTTTTTCTTTCTTCCTTTCTTTTTTTTTTTGAGACGGCGTCTCACTCTCTTGCCCAGGCTGGAGTGCAGTGGTGCGATCTCAGCTTACTGCAACCTCTGCCTCATGGGTTCAATCGATTCTCCTGCCTCAGCCTCCCTCCCAAATAGATGGGAGTACAGGCACCTGCCACCAAACCCAGCTAATTTTTGTATTTTTAGTAGAGACAGGTTTTCACCGTGTTGGCTAGGCTCATCTCAAACTCCTGACCTCAAGTGTTCCACCCACCTCGGCCTCCCAAGTGCTGAGATTACAGGCGTGAGCCACCGCCTAGTTGGTTATCGCCTAAAGGTCGCTAGACTGTTTTCCACCAGTTGCCTGTAAACTAAATACCAGTTTCACCTTGTGCAGCAAGATAGATTGCAGCTTGGGCATTTCTTAAAGGCCTTACATTTTCTGTTTCATGGCATTTAAAAGACACAATGAATTAATGTTCTGGTTATTTTGTCCAGGCAGCAGGTATATTGTGATGGGCCACATCTACCATAAGAGACGGCAGCTCCCTGCAGCTCTGCTCCAGGTCCTGAGAGGGCGCCTGCGTCCAGGGGATGGACTGTTGAGGAGCAGCAGCAGCTATGTGAAAAGGTTTAACCGAAAAAGGGAAGGGCAAGTTCAAGGTGCAATTCATACCCAATGCATTTGAAACAACTGTACTGGCATTTCTGGATTACAAGAGACTTGGACATCGGCAACGACATGAAAGATCCATCTTCATGTAATGAGTCCACCTTTAGAAGAGAGCCCACAGCTACTCTATGAATGACTTGCATAGTTCCAACTGTAATCTCCAAGGTGTCACTTTGTTATTTACAAGATGCTTCTTAAATGGGCTGCTTCTGAGCTCAGTGTCAAGGTTATTCAACTGTAGTGCCAGACAGTGATTTACGCAGCTCAGACAGATAATTGACCTGTCCAGTTAACAGATCACTGCTTCATGTTAAGTTTTTAAATTATTTTAATTTAATACATTCCTTAGTAGAAATAGTCCACAAAAACATACTCTTGAATTTAAATATACAACTTTTATATCATGTATCAAACCAGATTTTGTATTCAAACTATCACATTTTAAATTGTGTACATAACAGTAAGCGCACTCGTCAAAAGACATTTATGTATGAAATGTCATTTAGATCAAACACAAGGGTCAAAGCCTAGGACAAGTATTAAAATTTTACACCTCAAGAGTACTAAAGGGCCAGTGTACAGATGGGTGGATTAAAAAAATAAATAAAATTTAAAGATAGTGCTAAACGGCTTACTTCAGGCAAAAGTGTTCCTGATGAACCAAAATGTAAAATATAGTTTGTTTTCATTGCCTCCCTGCTCCTAATAGTGTATGTTTTGTGCCAAACTGGCAGCTATCCCAATGCGAAATGTATTCTGGGTGTATCTGATGTCATTTTTCTATTAAGACCAAGTGTAATGTTTGTTCGTAAAGCAATAAACCTTGCCTTGAAATCAGATCTTGGATGCACCTGTTTGTTTTTGTTTTATTTTGTTTTAGCCTTACTGAGCTCTAAAGATCTGTGAAAAAGCCTTTCTCAAATTCATTCCCTAAACCTTGGAACCAATATTCACCCATGACAGCTCACAAGCAAGTGATTTTTAAACACTTTTCAATTTTTTTTTTTTGAGATGGAGTCTCACTCAGTTGCCCAGGCTAGAGTGCAATGGCGCAATGTTGGCTCACTGCAACCTCCACCTCCCGGGTTCAAGCAATTCTACCTCAGCCTCCCGAATAGCTGGGATTACAGGCACCCGCCAACGTGCCCAGCTAATTTTTGTATTTTTAGTAGAGGAGGTTTCACCATCTTGGCCAGGCTGGTCTCAAACTCGTGACCTCGTAATCCACCTGCTTCTGCCTCCCAAAGTGCTGGGATTACAGGTGTGAGCCACCGTGCCTGGCCTCAGTTGGTTTTAAAAAGGTTTAATCATTCCAGGCACAGTGACTCATGCCTGTAACCCTAGCAATTTGGGAGGCTGAGATGGGCGGATCACAAGGTCAGGAGTTTGAAAGCAGCCTGGCCAACATAGTGAAACCCCGTCTCCACTAAAAATACAAAAATTAGCTGGGTGTCTTGGCGGGCACCTGTTGTCCCAGCTACTTGGGAGGCTGAGGCTGGCTTGAACCTGGGAGGCGGAGGTTGCAGTGAGCT